GATGCCAAGCGATTTTGAGCAGTTTTTCATGTGTCTTTTGGAAAGGCCATGTTTTTTTAAAGACCTTTTTATCTGTTTAACAGATTTAGTTGGGTAGGTCACTTTGCCATTAAAGTGTTCTGTATCTATGTCCTACTGGAGTGGAGTAGCTGTGTGAGAGAGATTAGGGGAGCTCAGAGAGGGACGGAGCTGGGTCCAGAACTGTCCCTGAAATCAGGGAGGACTTTGCTACTTCATCTGAGGCTACTGGGGAACCATTGGAGGGCACTCTAGGGTTTTGAACAGAGCTGTGACATGACTTAAGGCTTTAACGATCCCTGCTGTGTGGAATGGACTGGAGCAGGCCTAGGGCAGAAGCAGGGAGATCAGGGAAGAGTCTGTTGGTATTATCTTTGACATCGCCTTTATGTGTCAGCTTGGCTGGGCCATCATGCCTGTATTTGGCCCAGCATGATTCTGGATGTTTTTGTGAAGGTGGTTTTTGAATGAAATTAACATTTAAGTTGATGGATTTTTAGTAAAGCAGATTATCTTCTGAATTGTGGGTGGGCCTCATCAAATCAGTTGAAGACATGGCTAGAGAAAAAGACTGACCTCCTGAAACAGGACGGAATTCTGCCAAATCCCTTTAGATTCGGACTGCAACTCCTCCTTGGGTTTCCAGCCTGCTGGCCTAGCTAATTCCTTAAAATAAATCTCTCTCTCTCTCTCTCTGTATACACACACATCCTGTTGGTTTTTTTTCTCTGGAGAACGCTCACTAATACATCATCCAAGGAGAGAGGATGGTAGGTTAGACCAGGACTGGAGCAGTGGAGGTGGTAAGCATAGTGTAGTTTGGATATATTTCTAAGAGGCAAGGACTTTGTAGCTGGATCAGATACAGAACATGAGTGGGGAAGCCAGTCATGGGTGACACCAAGGTTTCTGGCTGAGCAGCTGGAGCATGTTGCCATTTACTGAGAAAGCAGGACTTCAGGAGGAGCTGGTGTATGGGGAAGCAGTAGGAGTTTGATTCTAACACTTTAACTTGATGTTACTAGTAGATAATGTAAATGTGGGCAGTAAATGTAAACATCTGGAGTTGAGGAAAGAAACCTGGCTGGAGCCAGATGTTTGGGGATTTAAGGCTTTGAGACCAATGAGCTCACCCAGACTATGAGTGGTGGATCCTAATGGGTGAGTGCTGAAGGAGAGGAGGTCCAAGGACCCAGGCCTGGACCTTGAACATTTAGAAGTTGACAAGATGGAATGAACAAAGGAGGGTGAGAAGGAGCAGCTGGAAGGCTCAGAAGAAAACTAAGCGAGTGACGCTCCCCACTTTAAGTAAACAACTGTTTGCCTAGTACCCCATGTGCTTGTCTTAGTACTTGTATGGAATTCCTTTATGTTGTTTTCCCCACGTAAGACCTTTGTGGGGGAACAGATTATCACCAAATCTCCGCCTCTTAGTGCCTGACATACAGTAGGAACCTACATACTTGTTTGCATGAATGAACTGCCTTAGTAGATCCGAATTATTAATTGCTTATGATACACTGGAAATGAGAGTGGTCTCCTTATCCACTCCTGCCTTGACTGAATCATGAAATCTGCCTTACTTCTTTGACCATAGCTGATTTCCCTAAGGGGGTGTGCGTGTGTGTTTTCAATCCAATGAAAATCAAAATATCCTAGCAACTGTACTGTAAAATGTTTCCAGAATAAGAGCACACTTCACTGTTTATACTTTCACCACCCTGGACTGAGTAAACCACCATCATCTCTTTCCTGGATTATTGTAAAAGGCTTCTATTTTTATTCTCCTAGCTTCCATCCTTGCCCCCCAACAATTTATTCTAGCACCTAGAAGAATACCTGGCATGAGGTAGATGCTCAGTTACTATTTGTTAAATGAGCAAATTCTTGAGTAAACATTCACTCCTAAGGTTCTTTGAGTAGGTGTGCAGCTTTCTGTGGATAGATTGCCATTAGAATAAAATGCAGACTCTGTCGTGGCTTGCCAGGCCTTCCTCCATCTGGCGTCTGCCTAATCTGCTGTACTCTGGCCACATTGGCATTTTTTCTGTGTCTGGAAGACACTGAACTCATTTCTGCCTTGGGGCTTCTGCATCTACCCCTCTGCCTGGAATGCCCCCCACCCCACCCCCCGCAGTCCGGTTTCTTCCCGTGACTGACTGCTCTCCTCATTCTGGGCCTTGTTCCAGTGTCTTACTTCTTGCAGAGGTCTCCTATGGCCTCCACAGCTGCACAAGTCCTCCCACACCTCCTCTCTCTGCCTCTCTAATCTCTTTCAACATTTTTTTTCCTCCTCTAAAGCCCTTACCATGTGCCCCAAGTCTTATTTGTTTGTGAGGTGTTTTTGACCCCTCTGCCCTCCAGAATGGTTCTGACCTTCTGGCTTATAGAATTGGATGGCTTGGTGGTGGTGTCATTTACTGAGCTTAAGTTTTAAAATAGCTGTGCTTTTCATTTGTGTATGTGTGTGGTTTTGATTCTTTGTTTCTTGATTTTTATTTATCCTTTCAAAAAACAAACCTCTGTGACTTTGCTTGCCTGTGGGCATCCAAAAGGAGGGGTGTCAAGTAGGCAATTGACTATGCATTTGGAGCTCAGAGAGTAGGTCGAGGCTGGAGGGGTGCTAGGGGCCTGACAGAGTGATACGAATCCCCACCCTGTTGTTCCTGATACTGGGCAAGCCATTGAATGTGTCCGAGGCTATTTGTTCATCTGTCAAGTGGGACTAATACTACCTACTTTGAAGGAAAGGACTGAATCAGGGTATATATGCAGTGTTTCGCACAGTGTCTGGCATGTGGAAGAATGACTTTAACATTGTTAAATGGACTGGGCTGGTTGATAATGCTAACTCTTGAGAGCTTATGATGTGTCAGATATGCAGAGTACTTTTATGTGGATTAATGTATTTACACCTCACTATTTCCTAGCTGAAGCTTTTAGTCACTGCGTCAATACTCTCTCTTCATAAAACATGCCTAAAGCTTTCCTGGTATTCTTCTCCCCCATCTGCACCCCCCCTTATGTTTTTGACCTTCATCTTCTTGCCAACTTTAGGTACTATAAGCAGCCCAAAGTATAGAAGCAGGATCTGTTAATATTTAGGAAGTTATTTGTGTTAAAATTTCTATTTGATTTGTAGATTTTCTAGGAACAACTGTAGCTTTAAATTACATACACCAAAGCTCTCACTGGAAATGTGGTTATTAGGTTATTGCCAAAACAAAGTGAGAGATGGAGCCTCTGCATACCAAAATGCAGTGTATTTCTTCTACTCCCCTTTAAAGTCTTGTTGTGGAATTGATTGCATTATGGGTGACTTAAAGCAGCATGGGGTTCATGATCCTCCTTGACTAGTGGGTCACCTAACTGTCTGCAGCTTCTTCAGTTGCAGGAAGCTTCGGACAGGAGGGTCTTAAGAAAATTCTCCTCTTCCTGTCTGGACAGGGAGCATGGCGCCTCTCAGAAGTGTGGTGGGCTTGGTCATTTCTTTTGTGTGGTGGCTGATGGAGATGCCTTGTGGAGAGAATGGAGGGTTTGGGGCCTCTTTCTGGTGTGTATTTCCTAACCTACATGGTGAGGTGGCCAGTTCTAGTGCCGCATTTCATAGACAAACTCCATGTTGTTTAAAACAAATTTTGTTATCACCATTGAGGCAATAATATTAAAACTCTTGTTTCTAATGTATTCACTGGACAGTAATCAGTTATGCACTTCTGGAGATACTTAGCTCTCCCGCAGTGTCCACTCTAAGACTTTTATAGTGATTAAAGAATCATGGATAGTTAGCTCATGAAAACACTGAAAAGGGAACAGGAGTGAGAGGTGTCTTTATTTTAGATCCATGTAGGGCTGTGTTTCCACTTACCTTGTCTTAAACCCTGGTCAGGTTGACACCATTTATGACACAGGACTAAAGACCAAATTGAGACTCGTTCAGAATGGTGTAGATGTTGGCCAAGAGTCCAGGAAAAAACAAGTCAGAAGGGTTTTTTTTTTTTTGGAGTGGATATTGAGTTCTAGTCTTGAATATTTTTCCTTTTAGATGGGGGAAAAACAGCAAATCTCTAAATATAAAGTTGTAAACATTAGGTTCCTTGGACTTATTTTTAAGATGATAAAGATCCTAGGACTTTATAAAGAAAAATAAATCCAGTGGTTAGTTTTCTACTTTAATGAAATTATGAAATACTGAATTTTGTATATTGAATATTTGCTATATTTTTAGAGAGGACTGGAGGGGCAGAAGGAGAGAGAGAATCTTAAGCAGGATCCACGCTCAGCAGGGAGCCCAACCTGGGGCTTGATCCCACGACCCTGAGATCATGACCTGACCCGAAATCCAAGAGTTGGACGCTTAACTGACTGAGCCACCCAGGGGCCCCAGAATATTTGTTATTTTCAATGAACCCAGCCTGTTTCTTTTTAATGATACAATATAGCTCTATATTTTTTACTTTCCCATTGTGTTAATTGAGATTAAAAGTGTTGTAATTATTAACAACTTTGAATGTTGAAGTAAAGCACTACTTAGTCTTTAAACTGCACATTATTTTCTCTGTCACTGCCCATCTTCCCCTTCCCCATTGAGAATGACTGAGCTGGAGTCAGTTCTGTGTTATATTGTAAAAGCAAGATTCACATCAATCATTTATTTTATTCTATACATAGCTTCCTTTCGGAATAAAAGTCAAGGTTAATGTCTAATTTTCACACAGAATTTGCCCAGTTCCATACTTGTTCCTGTGAGATGTGTTTGAAGTATAAGAAAATACTTCAAATGTGTTTTTCAAAGTGTTTAGGAATCATTTTAGTTAAAAGTATACAGTTCAATAAAGCATTGCATTTTTAGAGCGGATAAAAAAGGAACACTATTTAAAACATAGGATGCATAGTTAAAAACTACTTAACATTTGACTTTGCAACAGAGAAACGTGAAGTCACATTACTTTTTTGTATTCTTAATATTAAGAATTCTGCTTCTAAAGATGGCCATAAAAACTGCTCTGGTTATAAGTAACTTAACTTGATGGGTAATAGTATGGTAGGTTCCATATTCTATGCGAGAATGCTGGGAACCTGTTCTTTGTGGTTTTGTCCACGTAACTAGAAATCGTGGGTATTTCGTCTTTATTGGAACCCCTGGAGCTTGTGCCCAGGATCACAGAAGGAACAGGACAGTCTATGTTCCCTGACTCTTCCGGGCCTTCTTGCTGGTTACCTTTGTTAGTACTGTTTAGGAAGTCTTTCAGAACTTGCTTGAAGATGTAGACTATTTCCCACGGCAGTACATCATTTTCTGCTAAAACTTCTCGAAATCTGCAGGGAAACCAGTAATGAACATTTAGTTCAGAAACTTTCTTTTGTCATATCTGTTTATCTCCACAGTACAGCTTAAATAACGTGATCTTATAGTAGTTGCTCACGTTTTTGAGTAATCTGCTCATTCCTTTAAAATTAAGCTTCTTAGTAAAGAAATTCTGAATATGGTTTAAAAATATTTCCTAGCCAGTAAGATGTCAACGGATATTTTTGTCCAGTCTATCCTTGGGGATTTTGGTTGCCGGGTTTTGATACACATGATTAAAGAATTTACATAATAGAATACAATTTCCAGTCTAGATGTATGAGGAACTTAGACTTGACAGTAGCAAAATATCACAAAAGAGAACATAGTATTTTTACCTGCTGAGAATAGTTCCAGTTTGACAAGGCTGAACTTGTGAGCAAAGGACTTCAAGTTGTCTTTGTTCAGTAGCTGGGATGGTCGTGTGGGGATTCTGGTAGTTTCTCAGCCAGTTGTAATCCACACCTGTTTTTTTAACTTTTTGTTCATTTTCGATCTCTTGTATTAATCTCTCTCGCTCCTTCAGATGCCACTTTAATTCCCGAAGCAGAGTCTTTGTCACTACGTCGGAGCCAGGAGAGTGTGTGGGTTTGTAGGAATCATATTTTGGCCATTTCATCCAGCCAAAAAGTGGCATTTTTAGCCTATGGAAATATCCTCACTTATTTATTTGCATAAAATGTTGTGGTTCTGATGAGCAATATCTGTTTCTTTACAATAAATTTGCCAGAAAAGTGCATGAGTTTCACTGGTTAGATAAGCAGGTCAGAATAAGATTAGAACATGGATTAAAGCTTTTCAATTTCTAACTAGGTCAGTACCAAAAACCAAGCTTTGAAAATACATTTATGTAGCTAAGCAGAAATGAAATATACAAAGAGATAATCTCCAGACTGAACATTCTCTGAAAATTAACACTGACACTTGCTATAAAAAGTTCTTAGGAAGCTTTACAATATTAACGTATAAGAAGTGCTATCTATAAACACACTTTTGACTTAGGTTTTGTGCAGAAAAGGTTTAAAGCGTACCTGGTAAGTTGATGGATCCGATGTGGTGATGTTGCCAAAGAGTTTGCTTGAATTAGTGATGAAGCTGTGTTTTACTCAGGCATATGTTGTTCTCCTGGATGTATCCCCTGTTGGAAGGAATGAGCCTCCTTATTTACCCACTGAAACTGTATTTGAAATAAATAAGTTTCTATGTTAGGAATGAGGTTGTGATGTCTTCATTTAGGGAGACTCCTCATTAATTCACCTTGTAAGGAAGCTAGAAGAAATGACAAAAATAACTTACCATTCATTCTTCACAAATTATATAATAGTCTATCTTTTGAACATAGCTCAGTCTATTTGAAAAAGATGCTGGCTGCAGTGGGCTCTGGTCCTAACTGCACTCAGACTTATCTTTGGTAATGAAACGAGAACAATAGTGTGAGGCGCCGCAGATGTGCTCCCAGCTACGGTGAGGACTGTCGCGTGGTGTGAGGCTCGGCTATGCAGAGCTGTGGGTCACAGTTTAGGGCTGTATTTCTATGCCTGTAGAGCTCTAAAAATAACCACACTGCTTTTATTCTTCAGCTTAACTTTCAGGCCATCTAGAAGCCAGGTCACTGTCCCCTCCAGTGAAAGCAGGAAAAACGGATCAGTCTTTACGATTTGCAAAGTACCCATTTTGAGAAAATTTGTTATGATTGAGCAAAGTAGGCAAAGAATGCTGATATCTGTCATGTGAAATATTTAGCAAAGGTTATTTTTTGTACTCATTCTGTTCATCTTTTTAAATAGTAGTTAAATTTATATGTTTAAACAAGTTGTAACGCCAGAGGACATAAATGCTTAAGTAGGTAACTCTAAAATATACTTTATAATCTCTTTAAAAACATAACAATAGTAGATTAAGGTTAGGAAAAAATAGAGATCTAAGAACATATAAAGTTGAAAACAAAGTCTTATAATTCATTATAGAAGATCTGATATTAATGTTTTCTTTTGGAACTGAAGGTGAGACACTTATACTTACTGCTTGGGTGAGTACCAATGATGTGTAATGCTCATTATTGTGCTGTTTTTCTTTCAGGTGCTGTGTGTCTTTTGCTCAAGAGTGGACAGGTCTTTTACTCTCTAGTTCTATGTTAAATGACTACATAGTGGCTTTTCCTTTTATAACATTTGTTTCTTCCCTTGCCTTTTCCAGCAAGTGAACCGTGAAGAATAGACAGGGTTTACATCAGACCTGTATGTCATGCATGATCAGGAGTGATGTGTGTGGTCAGCCTGGAGCTCCTACTGCTTGTATGTGAGAAAAAGCCCAATGTCAGCATTCATTCTCGTCAATGAGAAGGTTTTCATATTACATTGTGTAGAGTATGAAAAGGAGAGGAGAGGAAAATTTATCATGACACAAGTGTCCTACCAGATTTTCTACCAAAGTCACGATGAATCCTGACACTTCTCCCTTTGAATAACCTCGTTACTGCTTTAATTCTTAAAATTTTTGCCTCTGAGGTGGTAACAACAACATCAGACGTGTATTGGTTATGGAACATAAACCAAATTCTTCTCAGGGCCCTCTGCAGTCTTGCATTATCCCTTCCTACCTGGCTTTCCCTTTCGCTCTCCCCCAGACGGTGTCTTTTGTTTCAGGCAGGCCTGACTGTCACGATGCTTGTCGTGCTCCGTCTGACCCTTCAGAGTGGCTCACACTGACTCTGTCTTTTCAGATGTTTACTCTTTCTCTTTTCCACTTACATCATAATTCTTGTTTCCAGGGCCCTGTTTAAATACCACCCAATGTTTTTCTTCTGAGGGAAAACATCAGCATATTTTCCTTGGCTCTAGTGTTCCTTTGAACTTATAGAAAGGTTGGTCTGTGTTCTTGTTCTCTCTGCTCCCTGTTTTCTAGTCCTTTCTGATTAGATTCTGCTCTGCCCTCCACTGGAATTGCTGGCTCTTAGTCACTCAGCAGAGTTTGATGACTGTGCTGTGGCCTAATGCTGGCTAGGGACTGGGGATGCTGCAGTGGACAAGACAGACCTAGTCTCTTACCTTGTGGGGAGCACCTTCCAGTGGGAAGACAAGTAGGAGCACGAGTCGTCCAGTAAGCTGATCACAGATGGGGGGCGGTTGTTTAATCGACTGGAGGCCTCCCCCAGTTCCATGTGGAGGTCAGGGAAGGCCTTTCTGGGGAGGGGGTGTCCTTTGAGTGGAGATTTGAAGATAAGTGAGCTACTACACAGCTTCTCAAAGACCATCTCCCACCCCAGGACACTTAGTTGGCATCTGTCTTGCCATCGTGACTACTGCTCAAGTCCAACCCTCACAGAGCTTTTTCTTACCAATCAGCTTACATTCAGCACACCTTCCTCTAATGGGTTAATTGTGTAATCCTATGTTTCTAGTGCTCAGGGTCTGCTACTAATATTATTATCAATTGTACTTTTTTCTGTCCTAGATCCTGAGATTGTTTGATTGAAGTAGAGCCCAAATATTCCAGTCATGTTCCTACTACCATGTAGATGGAGAATGTAAATATTTGTAGATCAGGGTAAGAAGGTACCTTTGTGGGGGCACCTGGATGGCTCTGCCTTCAGCTCAGGTCATGATCTCAGGGTCCTGGGATCGAGCCCCACATCGGGCTCCCTGCTCAGCGGGAAGCCTGCTTCTCCCTCTCCCATTCCCCCTGCTTGTGTTCCCTCTCTCGCTGTCTCTCTCCCTGTCAAATAAATAAAATCTTAAAAAAAAAATACCTTTGTGTTAATCCTTCCTGTTTATTAGGCTATGATCAGATTAACTTGGATTTTATTAAACATTTTAGTAAGTTGAATAAATGAATTGTTTCTAATGAAACCTTAGGACATTTTGTGTGGAAGACATAAAACTTAAACTATGAAACTGGTCAGTTTCTTTTTTGGTCATTGTCATTGCCTTCTCCTGTGGTGTCCAGGAGCATTTTTTAGCAATGAGGGAAGACTTGTCACTGTAAGGAGACTGATAGCCTTCTGTTTTTAATTCCTTTGCTACTGGATTTAAAGTTCTGGATTATTGGTTCTTCTTTCTTTCAGCTGGTAAAGATGCAGTTAAGGGGCACCTGGTTTCAGCTCAGGTCGTGATCTCAGGGTAGAGAATGGAGCCCGGCATCAGGCTCCATGCTCAGCAGGGAGTCAGCTTATCCCTCCCCCTCTGCCCCTCCCCACCAATAAATACATAAATCTTTTTTAAAAAAAAGATGCAGTTAATATTTGAGGAGAAACTAAAACTGTTAAATTTCTTTTCCCAGTGTTATTTTTTCTTTAAAATATTTTAATTAAAATACACTGATTCAGGGCGCCTGGGTGGCTCAGTCGTTAAGCGTCTGCCTTCAGCTCAGGTCATGATCCCAGGGTCCTGGGATTCAGCCCCGGAATCGGGCTTCCTGCTCCGCGGGAAGCCTGCTTCTCCCTCTCCCACTCCACCTGCTTGTGTTCCCTCTCTCGTTGTGTCTCTCTGTCAAATAAATAAATAAATCTTAAAAATAAATAAACAGGGGCGCCTGGGTGGCTCAGTCGTTAAGCGTCTGCCTTCGGCTCAGGTCATGATCCCAGGGTCCTGGGATCGAGCCCCATGTCGGGCTCCCTGCTCTGTGGGAAGCCTGCTTCTCCCTCTCCCACTCCCCCTGCTTGTGTTCCCTCTCTCGCTGTGTCTCTCTCTGTCAAATGAATGAATAAAATCTTAAAAAAAAAAAAATACACTGGGGTGCCTGGGTGGCTCAGTCGTTAAGCGTCTGCCTTCGGCTCAGGTCATGATCCCAGGGTCCTGGGATCGAGCCCCGCGTCGGGCTCCCTGCTCAGTGGGAAGCCTGCTTCTCCCTCTCCCACTCCCCGTTTGTGTTCCCTCTCTCGCTCGCTCTCTCTGTCAAATAAATAAATCTTTAAAAAAAAATACACTGATGCATGTACTTTTTAAAGGTAAAAATCACGTTTATATTGGGTTGTGCATATGTTCTTGATTTACAGGAATTCTTAACATACTCCAGTCCCATGCGCTGTAGATGTTTTCTCCTGAGTGACTATTGCTCTTGCCCTTTCTAGAGACGTTGTTCATCAGCTTAAATGACAGTTTAGTTTGTTGATATTGTCCTTTTTGACTTTTCCTTTTCGTGCTCCTGTTTATGAAGGCCTTCTCTACTCCAAAGTTCTTGAATGTTGGAGAACATTAGCTTTTGGCTTAAAAACATAAGTGCCTGGGTTTTGAATCAGTTTGGAATTGATTTGAGATTGGTGTGAGGTGTAGGGTTTCTAAATTGGTAGCCAATATCTAAGTGGTCATTGCTCCATTCTGGAGATTTTCCTCGTTCTTCATATGCTGAGTAGTTGTGTGTATCCTGGGCATTCTGATATTATGGGGTTCTGGGGCTTGTTTAAATCCTCTGGGGAATGCAGCTGAGCAGCTGTGTTCAGGCAGCAAGTTCCTGCCAGCCTTCTGTGGGGTTCAAGGTCTCTGTGGGTTTTCTTTATTTTTTTTTTTAAAGATTTTATTTATTTATTTGACGAGAGACACAGCAAGAGAGGGAACACAGCAGGGGGAGTGGGAGAGGGAGAAGCAGGCTCCCCGCTGAGCAGGGAGCCAGATGTGGGGCTCGATCCCAGGACCCTGGGATCATAACCTGAGCCGAAGGCAGCCGCTTAGCCATCTGAGCCCCCCAGGCACCCAAGGTCTTGGGTTTTCAGAGCCATCACCGTGCTGTCTGGGTCTGTCCTGCATGGTGCCACCTGCTGGCTGTTCTGTAGTTAAGCCCTCAGTCTTCAGTCCGTGGTGAGCTGTTGGGGGTCTGTGCATACTCTGCAGCCTTGGGGTGAGCCCAGTAGCTTATGGACGGCCTTGGGGGGTGGGTCTGGATTTCCCAGGTACTCTCCTGTCCCTGAGGCAGCTCCCCTTTTTGGTCCTTTATTGCTCTGCTCCACCCTGCGCTTCCTGCCAGTACATCTACCTGCATTCACATCTGGGGTCAAGCAGTGGGAGGACCCAGGAGGAAAGTAGGCAGTGAGGGTCTACCCTCCCCTCTGGGAGGTGGTGTTTCCACTCCTTAGAGTTTGAGGCCCTTGCTGACCCCTGAAACATGAGAGAAAGGAGAAAAGAGAAAAACTGGAGACTGCCCTCACTTTGAGCATTTGGGGTCCCCTTTCTTGCTCCACAAGGC